GATGCAAAATATTTTAACAAACTGAAATCTCCAGACAGGTGTAAGAGGCTGGTGCGCGGAATTGTAAAATTTTCGGTTTCCTTATGTTTAAGCTGTATGAAACACAGTGGTTGCCCCGTCCACCAACACAACAAAACCAATAACAATCTGGACGGGCAACTACAACGAGAAAACAACTACAGACCAATGTCGCCTCGAAGAAAGTGCCCAGCCAGAGAGACGTTAATCATCAAGCACTGGTCACCTTCATTTCGCCCTGAAGATAGAGGCAGCATGCTTATCCGAAACGTTAGTATCTACCTGTGAGACAATAGAGCATCACAACCAACATCGGCATCTTGACCGCCGTCAGAACCTCAAATCTGATCACCAAGATTACAGCCCAACACATGTCAGAGCACCCACCCTACTTAGAAAAGGCATTTTCGAATTAGCGCCTTTGTCAGTCCCTTATCATCATCATCGTCCACGTTTTCTTCGTATGTGGACGGGCGCACTCAAACTTCTGCGTTGGGTAGGAAAACGAAACGAGAATTTCTCGACGAGTGCGATTTTGACGCACGAACGCGACTGCCAGTAACGACAGATCAAAATGGACACGGACATTGAAGGCGGAGAGAACAAAAACAAAAACAAAAACAAAAAATGGACCCAAAACCAAAACGTGATGGAGAGTCGGGAAACGCTGACTGCTTCAAGTGTTGATGGCAGAATCATGCAGACAATGACTGTCAATCAATACTTTAAACGAGCTATGATATTCAGCCCACTCGCCGTTCAAGTGCGAACAGCGTCCCCACTCATTTGTTCGCGCTGCAAACAGCGCCCTTACTTAAGTGGCAGCTTAATCCGAACACAGGACACGAACCGTTTCGCGTCATCCTCGATACGGTACAGCGATCTCGTGGCGAGAGTTCTAACTAAAATCCCGGGTTCGATCTCAACTGTCACCACCACCACCTGAAGACGGCAGAAAATACAACTCCCGAAACGTCGTGTCAACGCACAGCCAACACATGAGAAAAATGACAATAGCCAGGCCAGCGGATGACTTTTCCTTCGGTTGTGCGTTGCGTCAAGAACACGTTCCCTTCGTTAACAACAGCTGAAAAGTAAAACATCTCATCTTAAGAGCTCTTAATTCAAAAAGCGATTATGACAGATGCCAGCTAATCCAAGTTGAAAATATTTCAGAAAATTTTGGAGGAAACGGACAGACAGACAGACACGCAATGACGCAGGACGCAGATAAAGTTTTAGTAACGGGTGACTCGAAAGCCTGTAGAACGGTTTCAACTAGTCAAAGACAAAGGACACCCGGAGAGAAATGGAACGCCTCAGCCCCTGCACTGACACAGGCAAAACAGACAAGCACGAGAACGAACCAAAGACTCGAAGGAAATAGAAAAGAAGAAACAGTGTGTGAGGCGACAGCTAATTCTGCTGCGTTCACGTGGGCAGCCTGAAGAAAACCATGACTTTCACGACGGCGTCCGTGAACGAAATCTACTTTGCCGATCTGCACCCGGGAGGACACGAGAGCGCACGAACCTTGTACCTCTGAAGCCGGAGAACGCGACTGCGAATTACTTCGCCTGTAACGTTCAGACAGCTGCTTTACGCCTCGCCTCGCCTCGCCTTGCTGCACGCTCCGACCGATTGTGCGTGTGGTTGTTTAACGACGCTATCAGTAGCTCGGACTACAGAACCGCAGCGGCGAATAACAGGATGACAAATGAACTGGGAGGGATACGGAAGGAAGCGGTGGCTGAAAACGGGAAGCGAGGCGTGAGGACGTGACAGAAGCAGAAATGATTTACGTACATCTTCTGGGTATATTTGACTGTGGCAGTGCGTTTCAGGAGAACGCGGAGACAGGGGGGACGGTGTCACGAAGGCAGATTTTGGGCAAATTTTGTATGGAATGGCGGTATTTCTGCGGCACAGAACCTTGGCTCTGACTGCAGTTATTACGCGGCCAGGAAGCAATTCTGATACATGACGCACAGCCGAATTGAGACTTATATACAGATCCTCAAACATAACAGCCTCTGGGTCAAAGCCGTGATTACATTTCCGATGTTGACAAGTTTCCTTGCAGAAAACGCGATATGAAACGGGCACAGCTACCTGGCGCCCTCGTTGCAGCCAGATTTACTCCTGAGAGCGTGGCATTTAAATAAACAAACAGCGATCCCCATAGAAACAGACGCAAACGCCTCCTTCTGAATCCTAATTCACCACGCGCAGTCATCAGGACCGCACGTCGACGAGTATGAAGATGCTGATGCAGGTACCTCTGAAACGTCGGTAAATTTCCATCAGACTGCACGGCGCAACGTCCAATTGTACGATTTTAGAGGCTCAGCAAAGACAACGTCGTTAAACAACGCGCATAAACTAGCAAGACGTCAGCTGTTCCATGTTCGCGTAATGTGTAAACCCGTTTGAAGTGTTTCCACCAAATGCATTGCTAATTCAGTACATTTGCAAATAAGTGCGTAATGAAGTGGAGTGAAGCCGTTCCAATCCTGCACGTTCAGATTAGCACCTGTCTTTATTAAGTAGTCCACGTCAATTGGGTTACAACAATGCAATACGAGATGTAAAGCTGACGATTTGCTGCCATCACGGCTACGGAAATTGACATCAGCGCCTCTTTCAATTAAGAACTTCACTCTCTGTAAGTCGTTTTTCTCAATTGCAAGTAGTAACGGACTTACGCCTCGTTCAACATTGCTGTCATTAATATCCGCTCCCTGTTCCAGTAAGAAATCCATCACGACCCAATGTGCCCTTTCAGTTGCCAAGAGCAAAGCAGTTACATCATCGATGCAAGCATTTACGTCTGCTCCATTCATTACAAGATAATGAATTATTTCTAGATGGCCACCATATGCAGACTCCATCAGCGGAGTCCGGCCAATTGCGTTGGCTATCTGTAAATCAGCGCCTCTTTCGACTAGAAATTCCGTTGGTCTCAGATTATCAAAGCAAGCTGCGTAGTGTAGCGGAGTTCCGCGTATACTCGTTTCGTTGACAGACATTCCTTTATCTACTAATAATGTCATAAGGTCTACATTATCAGCTTCAACAGCGAGGTGAAAAGCAGTTTCATTAAAGATGTTGCGAACATTAATATCAGCGTCCCTTTCAATTAAGAACTTCACTTTCTGTAAGTCTTTAATTGCATGTAATAACGGACTTTCGCCGTGTTCAACATTGCTGCCATTAATATTCGCGCCCTGTTCCAGTAAGAAACCCATCACGTCAAAATGTGCTCCTTTAGTTGCCAAGTGCAAAGCAGTTTCATAAATGGTGCAAGCATTTACGTCTGCTCCATTCATTGTAAGATAACGAACTACTTCTAGATGGCCACGAGTTGCAGCCTCCATCAGCGGAGTCCGGAAAATACCGTCAGCTATCTTTAAATTAGCGTCTATTTCGAAAATTGTGATCAGGGCCCTGAAAAGGGCCATTTCAGTGGTCCGGGTGGTGCTCTATAGAATGCTTCTGGAGCCCTCGAAGATTGTGAATGAGGGGAAAGAAGGACCTGGCTTCACAGAGTAAGTAAGGAGTAGACCAGATATCTTCTATTATGAAAATATGCCTTTCTGGCATGATCGCTCAATATGCGGTACAAGAAAGAGCTATTGAACATTGAAGTGTCTGAGGAGAATACAAACAAACAACATCAGAAAAAGGTCTAACAATAACAATCTACTTAGATGCCTTTCTCTTTAGTCCTACGTGCAGAATATTGACATTCTTATTGTTGTCTATGGTTCTAAGTAACAGAAAGAAACTTTTGCCCATTGTGAATATTGGTTTGCACAATTCCACTTTACATTCAGCTTCATTACGCAGAAATTATCCGTAAATACTCCCAGTTGCATTTGATTGGTTGCTTGGTCCCATGTGGTTATTCTCCATGTGCTGTCAGATATCAGTGACGCTGCCCTCCCAGGTGCAGCTCACCTTACCGTTACCTGAAATGGGCATTTAAATGGCTGGTGTTGACACTGGTCTTCGTGCTTCTCACTACGCTGTAGGTAAAATGCCTTGGGACATCCTCGGTTGTAATATTTACACGGGTGCCTCATTTTCCTGGTCATGTTCTCAAGAAGAAAACACCTCATGTTTGAGAACTGTTCTCTGCAGACTGGGCAATTCAGGAGATTCTGCCTGCAGGTCTTGCACACACTGTGGCCATTTTCACACATGGGAATGGGTGACATAATATACTCCCGACAGACTTGACACTATAGTTCCTTCAGGAAATCCTTGAAGCATGGGTCCATATTTGCAGTTTGGTGCCTTGATCTTGAATAATGAAAGAAAGTCAATTTAGATACATATTATACAGTGGCAATACTTTCAATGTGACTTGAACCATAATTTTGTAAACAGAGGCTTTAATTTTAACAGCATTAGTACCTAATACAAAATATATATCTCATTAAATAATAGGCTTGTTTTACATTTTGCAAAAAATTATTGTGCTTAACTTGCATATTTTCAAAGACCTATTACCATACATTGTTGTATGACTTTATAGTCTATTTATCACGTTAGTATTACCAGTTGTAGGAAATTAATAGGTATCATTTTGGATAGCCTCCAGTGATATAACTTTCACACCAAATTTTATCAAAGTCCATGCTACTGCTCTTGACTTGAATCATGGAGATACGGGGATGGAAAGACAGACATGGTCGGCCCTGTATGTGTTTATTTCATGCACATTTTCAAAGAACATATAATAACACAAAATTAATATAAACTTTTCAAACGTGAACTTTAACTAAATCATACAAAAACTCAAGCTATACTTACCGATCTTTAATGAAACATCTGCACGTAACTGAACGGATTGTATTTAAATTTTAGAAGCGGCTACTAAGAACTGAAGATTCATGATTGCTAATACGTCTATAAGGAAGGGTCATTCGGCAAAATAGTGTTACGAAAAAGTGTAACTTCATTGTTATGTTACCTAGGAAACCTCATCTGTTTACTCAGCATTGTTGTTACCTAGGAAACGTCAACTGTTTACTCGGCATTATTGTTACCTAGGAAACTTCATCTGTTTACTTAGCATTGTTGTTACATAGGAAACGTTACATTACATTAAAATACATTACTTTACGTTACATTCATTTACCACAGATCCATCTTAAGCGTAACTAATTCAAGTTAAGTATTGAAGCATTTTTGTTACTCGGCATTGTTGTTACCTATAAAATATTACTTTACATTACCATACCACCGCCACGGTTGTCTAGCGGTTAGAATGCTGGCCTTGTAATCCTGGGGTCTCGGGTTCGATTCCCGGCGGTGCCCGAATTTTTAACTTGTGTTGGGCAAGGCCGTGGTCTAGGCAACACGGAGTTTTCCTCCGGGGGCTTCCCCGGTTTCTCCGTGGCATCCCAACAATTACTCCATTCACACACAGAAGAAGGCAATGGCAAACCACTTCTGGATCATCTGCCAAGAAAAATATGGAAGGATCCTGTTCATATGGACATGTCGTCAGACA